AAAAGTCTAGAACTAATTTGCATTAAGTTATGATTTGGTCGTAACACCGGACACTAATGCCTGTGGCATGTCTACGCAATAGGCGCAAGAATACCAGTCTTATAAAGTACCATGCCTAAAAAAATGCCAAGCACCTGTTAACCTATGCCTATAATTAATGCTTTGCACTTTTAAGAGTGCAGACAGGTATAGAAGTGCTAGCACCCTTAAGCCAGGCACAAAGTATCCATAAGCACAAAAATGACTGTGCCCTAAATTTTTTGTTGTCACGGGCACATGCTGGACATGCAGATCCCTAGTTATATAGTATAAACAATAAATTTAGATTTTTCTGCTATAAGGGGATCCGCTCTAAAAAAATCCGGTAGAACAAGGGTAGACTGTAACAATTCAATCGGTATAGATGAATATATATTCTCGGAGCTACTACTCCGCAAAATACAGATATATTAAAACATGAAATTTTATGAACGTGCATAGTATTGCATTAAACAAGTAATACCTATCTTGAGTATGAATCTAATTAAAACTCGCCTTCTGGAAATAGAATCAATCCAGACCGGACGTTTAACATCGTAAGAGAACATTAAAAAAAACTAGCTTTATTTAGTGAAATAATGTAAAAAAAAAAAATACAAAATGCACATGATACCAATGCGAATGTTTAAAAAACAGGTTATGTTTGCTTTATGTAAAATCAAACATAAAATACGGGTGCTTACGTATTATAGTTTATTATTGGTAAATTAAATTGAGATAGCCAACTAAACTGACTTAGCCGTATCAAAATTACTGAATTGGCTAAGTTTTTTAAATTTTATCCGACTACAGTCACTACTTCAATTTATTCTTCTTATCCATCAGTGCACGCTCCTTTTGCATCCTACTCTGCTCTATTTGAGCTTCTTTTTGATTTATATCCCATAATCTGCTTTTATAAAATCTCAAATTATTAGTCCAGCGCTCTTCAGTATGATCAGGCAACTTACCCGCAGCTTTGTCCAAAGCTACTCCGTAGGCATTAATTATAGTACGCAGAAAATCTTTGTCATCAATTTCAAATGGTAGTTTTGGAACACCTTGTTTTGTAGCAAGGGTTACAAGTGACTTAGGATTGTTCAATCCAATTTGATCGATCTTGTTTAATATCCATCGAACCTCTTTTGTCATACGAATAGGGTTCGATTCAAGTGTCAACTCGAGTATCTTCGTCAGTGCAGTAGCTTTGGGGACAACTTTGTGTTTAATAATTATGCCAAAAATTTCTTTAACAGATTCTAAATTTTGTGAATTTCTACAAGCTACCATGAGTAAATCAAATGTTGTTGACTTCGGTTCAATACCCAAATCAAGGGCTTGTTTAAAAGCATCAATGGCGTTGTCATATTGTTCAGACTTATTATAAAGTGAAATCAAGCTATTAAAATTTTCAATGTCTAGTTGGATATTTGGGAATAAAACTTTAGCATTGTGAAATAGTTTAATACCCAAATCGATTTTTTGAGATTTGAAGCATAATCCCATCATAAGATCCAATGACTTTGATGTCATTTGCAAATTATAAGGTCGAGTTCTTATCACATCATCTCCAATTCCATAAATTTCTTTAAGCATCAGGAATCCTCTGTCAATCTGATCAGAGTTTCTAAAGACAAGAAGCATAGCGCAAACGAGTTCATCATCAATAGCATCCTCCTCTGTACGAATACCCGGCTTTTTAAGATGTTCAATTGCTTTTTGAAACACTTTATTCCATATATTTGATGCCAAAGGAAAAGCTATATTTGGATATTTAACGCAATTTCTCGCACAAGCCCTTAGAACAATTGTATGTGTTTCCCTATTAGCTGTTAGTGCACCATATGATCCAGGATGAAAAAGTGTGTCATAATTATTTACCAATGCCTGGAATTAGTGTTACAAATTGTCAAAAAGTTTGCAATCGATTAGTTGGTTAATTATTTTTTAGTTGATCAACTAGTTGCAACTATTCAATGAATTATTAATTGATTAGTTGCAACTAATTAATTAATCAATTGATTCTTCAATCGATTAGTTGTAACTAATCGATTAGTTATAACTAATCGATCAATTCTTCAGCTGATTAAATGTAACTGGTCAATTAATCGATTAGTCTGTGTCTATTGCAATTAACAAAATCCCAAAAAAAAAAAAAAGAAATTACTCGATTGTTAGATTACTTTATGCAATATATTTATATTAACGTGGTCTAAGAAAATAAGAAATCAAAAATCAATTTCTTTTCTTTTTCTTTAGCAATTTGCAGATTTCACAAAATTTTTGCAAATCGCAATAAGTTCAACCGATTAGTTGTCAACTAATCAACTAATCGATTTTTTTAATTTTCGATTTGTAACACTACCTGGAATTCATTTGCATTAAAACAAACTTTTAATAAAGCATTTGCATGTTCAGTCTTGAGCTGAAACTCCGATTTACGACGACCTGCTCTCCTGATGCTGTCAACAATTGCCCTGGCATGAAAAACATTATCAGGCAACGCACGATATTCTGCAAGGCCATTTAGTAATAACATGTATGTATTTATGTTGGGTTGTAAGGCAAACCGTTTCATCTATTTATTATTAACCAAATTTAATTATTTAATATAAAGTTAACGTACAATTTCA